TAAATATTTTGTTTTAATAATTTGATTTGTTTTTTTTTAACATTACACTGCGACGCATAATTATAGTTCCACCTACAATTTCAGTACCCGGCTGGATATCATTTTCTCACGATACGGCGCTTATCTCAGTCGGATAGTAATCAGGGTTCCTCCCAGTCATATCCTGTAGCATCCTTGAGAAATTTGTTCGTTATGAAGTCACCCAGACAAATTGTCACCCCGACAAATTCCAGCGGAGCTGACACTTTGACAATTCCTGCGTCTCTTTTGCTAGGATTTCCCTTTTACGGAAGTGTGACAGCGGTTTTGCCTTTGCTATAAGCTAAGGAACTTGAATGGATAATAATTCCAAATTTTGATTGGGTAAAAGCAAAATGCAGCGGAGAAGCTAAAGCGGATATTTTCGAAAAAATAAGGATAAAAAATTGTTGCTTTCTCAAACTGGATTTCCGTGTTAATATTCAGATTCGCGTTTATATGTGTCACAATTTATCTGTAGAGCCTTTTCCAAAAACATCCCCAGATTCAAGTTTTTGGGAAATTTGTAGGTGGAACTATAATTATGCGTCTCAGTGTATATTTTGAAGGTGTCACAATCGAAATGCAGCTGACCAACTCTAATCTTTTAAATAACAACGTATGTATGCGGTTCAGAATCCAAAAAAATCACCTTCCGAGACGGAACTGATTCCTGTCGAACCACCATCTTCTTCGTCCTCAACGATCTCATCGGAATCACACAGAAGTCGCAGTGGAAGCTACAACGAGATTCTACAGAGAAAGAACATAACACGTCTTAAAAGTTGTATTTCTGGATTCCATACTCTTCAATTGAGTCACTAGGTGCTCTATGAATAGTTGAGAAAAGAAAGACTAGACACTTCACATGTTGACTGGAAGCAGGTTCTTTACCGACGGTCGTTGGTGAATTAAAATGAAGGATTATGCAAGCGACAAGTTTGTTGGGCACCATTGTCATGCGCAAACTACCGGAATGTCAACAGAGATGACGGCAAAGTAATGCTTGAACAACAACTAAACATGTCCGACAGCGACATGTCCCGCGTGTTAAGCCTTTTTTGAATATCTAGAAAAATTCACAGAACCAATTTCCCAGAAGAATGCAGTGACAATGAGCGTCAGATCGTACCTTCTTAGACCAGCCAGTCACAATAGCAGAGCCTTTCTAATCATCCAGGGCTACCCAGCCGATAGCTCATTCAAATGGGACAGAACATATTCTAGACTCTATTCAACATTGTAGGTAACAGAACTGCTGGGTAGAATAATCTATTGGCTTGTCTCAATAGGTGAAACTTCTTTGCGATGCACGGTCTGCTCTAATGCCAGTGTGGCTCAAGGAGTCCTTTAAAGTTACAAGATGCTATCAGCTTTACTCCTACGTCGCGCCTTCTGGTTTTTCATGTAATGTTCTTGTGTTTTATGACATAAACATGTTTTATGACATCTGTGAAAAGCACTTTTACCTGATAAGCAGCTACTACCAAGTTTACGAAAGGGGAGGAGTCCTTCCCCCCCCCCCGAAGGGAACGAATATTGTCCATGATCCCAGGGGCTTTCCCGTCCTTCTGAGGATCAGTCTTGAACCATCACGCAAGGAGTATATGTCATCCGTGGTTTTGTGCACGTTGAGCTCCATTAGCCGCATCCCGACCTCCCTAACTGGACTAGACCCTAATCTACGGTGAACGGCATTATTTCGGCTGTTATTGATTAGAACGAAAAAAACGCTGGTAGTACGAACACATCCTTCGAATACGGCGGCCAGGTGCATGTCGACTGCAGACTACACAACACAAGCGACGACAACTCTCACAAAATGTAAGTTTTCTGCCATTCAAATTATCAGCCGGTCGCAATCGTTTCTGACCATTGATCCTTATCACGCCCAACAGTTATCAACTCAGCTATCACTACGAGTTATGAGGTTCTCATGAGGACCATCGTCACTAGAGTACGTTAGTTGAGAAACAAGAATGGGAGCAGTATCAAGCAAGTGAAGCGTAGCTTTCTGAAGACCACCACAAGAACACATCTACTAAAAATGGTTTATATAATAGTCACCCGTAATTTGAGCACTTTCTAATTTTTCGCGATCCCGCCAGATCAGAAATCACGTTGGCAAACAATATTCGCTGTCAGAAACAGATCAAGTGAACAGGTGAGGACCAAAATGCATAAACCAGTTT